ACTCAGTGATGGCAAAGTCCATCGAACAGAAACTCGCGCAATCACACATCGATCGATGCACAGCATTGGGAGCAATTTAGGGTTCCATTCAGGGATCTTGTTCAAAGATACTTGTGTGGCGGGAGGAGCCGGGGATCAACCAACAACATTCCGATTAGTAGACGACCCGCTCTTCCTCTGAGCCACAGCTGCCCAACACTGCTCACTGTGGCTGCTCTCTCTTTTCCATTACTCCCTGCAATATTTCAAACAGAGCCACTGTCTGAAAATGAGCGTTGTCTTGTATTTTTTTTCTGGGAATGAAAGTATGCAGGCTGCAGCTGTAGTGTATGCGTGTAGCAACATGACAGCTCCCCAAAAGTGAAAGCATCACATCTCAATCACCCGTGTTGGCTGGCTGTTAGTTTAAAAGCACTTGATTTGATTTGGTTTGATATGCAGCAGAGTTTTCCATGAGCTATCATTGCAAACGTCAATATTGTAGACACTCATGTTTATTTAATTGTGGGAAGCCAAAATCGTGATTGCAATTAATATTCGATTAATTGTGCAGCCCTAATTTCTGCCAATAGATCCTCTTAAATGTTACACACTGGATTTCTAAACCCCATTGTTCTGACAAACAAGACTCATACAGCCAACAAACCCTGCTCAATAGACATTATCTCTATTGAACTATGTAGTGGCCAACAGTTGGAGACATTTTTGTTAAACAAATCAGGTGCTGTTTTATCTATGTCTATGTTATAAATGTCCATCCTTACTCTCACATAATTTGCAGAAGAGTTTGAAGTCATTTCAACTGCCAGAGGACAAGTGCAAAGAAATATATCTGATACAAGAAATAACAATTACATTTTTTGTTACTATATGACAATCTATAATAATCAACTTTTCTATTCAATTTATATGGATATGGCAGAGAAAAGCCTTACAATAGAAAGCTGGCACTGGCTAATGTTTAGTGTTCTTGATAAATGACTGATGATTACCAGTGAGCTCAAGGAACTGAAGCTAAGAACTAGGCCTTAATGTACGAAATGGCACAGCCCATGTAAAGTGGACACATCCATGCGGCCCAGCAATCATCGGCCTCCATGCTGCCATATGAGGTTCCTCTTTCCTGTTATTAATAACTGAAAGCAGGTGGTTGCTAGAACAATTACGTCACAGTCTTCCTGCTTCCAGCTATGACAGGAAGCTAACTTTAGCCAGCCTGCAGTGGCTTCCAGGTTACAAATACTATGCTTTATCTATCTATCTTCCAATATGTTGAAAATGAAAGAAAAAAGACCACCCTGTCATTTTCAGACTAAATCTGAATGTAGATTTTTGTGGTTCTCCGACTGCAACTCCATAGACAAAAGCGGATATTATACCTCACATATCATCGTAACATCATAACTTTATTCAAAGTTGACAGAAATTTAAATAAGGATATATAGTATATATAGTATTAGTGGCATCTAGCGGTGTAGTTGCACATTGAAAACCCCTTGTTTCCTCCTCAGCTTCCAACACGACAGAGAAACTGCTGTGACTGCAAAACGCACAAAAAACATGAACACCCCTATCTAGAGCCA